TGTAGGAAATAAGAGTCCCATTAAACTTAAGCTACCACTGCTACCTGGTCACTTTAGGTTCCTTATGCCAGAAAATAAGAGTTACCAAACTGACCGAGGTTATGGACCCTGATTATCACGAGGAAGCAGAGTAACTGCAACATAATGAGGGCCCCGAGGAGTGTGTTTGGCACTCAGATGACCCATCAGGTCATCTCTTGGTATGCGCATGCCCAAGTTTAACTGTAAATGGGCAAGTGCAGCAACCACAATCTACTAAAGGCATGGTAACCAGGGTGTCTGACCACTCAGGGGTGAGAGTCTGGGTTACCAAGCTCAGGAGTGCCCAAGTAGAATGAGGGGGTCTAGAATGGGTGATTAGAGGAGGGACACGATGAGTATCACCCATATAGTCTTGGGACCAACTACAAAATGGGGCTGTGGTTTGTCTCATTATCCCTCAATTTGTATATATGAACTGTGATCTCAGAATCCTGAAGCTTGATCTGGATGGAGCAAATCAATGTGCGAAGCTAGTGGATCTGTGCAGTGCTAGAGGTGAGCTGTACTAGGTGCCATGGCGTCTGTTTCACTGAGCCAGGGCATCCATCTCCGTCTGTGAATGTTGGCTGCTAATGGCAGTGTGTATATTCTTTAACATCTCGCTTTCTTGCATTCAACATTATTATGGTTTCATTCTTTTATGTGGTTGAATATGGCTGTAATGTAGTTCATTTCTTTTTACCACCCTATAGTATTCAATTATATCAATATAACACAATTTACTTTGCCATTCTTCTGATGATAGATCTTTGAAAAGTTTATGGCTTTGGCTATTAAAAATAATGCCAGTATAAACATTCTTTTACCTGTCTTTGAGTGCACACACATACACACACACACAATTTTGTTAGGTCTCTATCTAGGAGTGAAACTATTGGATCACAGGGCATATATGTATTCTACAATAGTAAACAGTGTTAAACAGTTTTCCAAAGTGGTTTGAGTCCTGTTAGAAACAATTTCACAGCTCTACGGGTATGAAGATATTCTCCTATATCATCTTCTGGAAGCTTTATTGTTTTATTACTATTTACCTTAAGGTCAACAATCAAGTTGGAATGAGGCAAAATAGAAGTTTAATTTTTTTCATATGCAAACCAATTGACCATTTGATTTAAAAACACTTTATTTAAAAGATTTTCCTTTGTTCACTATTCTGTGCAGTCTCATGCAATGATTCATTTTTTGGATTGTTCTCATAAATGAACTTTGGTACTAAGCCAACAAGTGGACAGTTATTGGGTTGAACCTTTTGTGATATTAATATTATCTTCATTTTACTCTGAGGCAACTGAGGCTCACAGATGTTAATTAGTTTAGTGAGCAGGTTCTTCTGTACAAAGATTCACCTTATTAATGCCTTAAATGAGATATAAATTATAAATGGATTCATCATTTAGCAGATAACAGGAAGAAGGAAGGGGACTCGGGTCTGCTAAGGCACTTCTGTTAACTTCATGTAGTGTCCATTTCTGACTCCAAAATAGTTGTTTCATCTCCATCATTATGTTTTCATTGCAGCCTAGTGGGAAAAGAGGAAGAACATAGAAATGCATGCCCCTTATTTTAGGAATGTTACTGGAAATCACACAATTCCACTCAGATCCTGTAGTCCAAAATTCAGATATACAGTATAGCCACAGGGAGCCTGGGAAATGGAGTCTTTACTTTAGGTGGCCAGTGTCTCACTGAACTTTTGGGTCTCTGTTACTACAGAAAAAAAGGAGAGAATGGATATTGGAACTGCTAGCCATAGTCATATACTTATTTGCAGAATAGCCAAGGTTCAGACAAAAGTCTGTGTGACTCCAGGCTGTACTGCACAGCTCATGACAACTAGCTGGACCGCAAAGCTTGCCTTTGGAGAAACTTCTTGGGAGACATTCCTGTCAGAGCTCAATTCCTAGATGTCTCCCCACACATGTGTATAATTTTCTTTTATTAGAAAATACAATTATTTAACTCAACGTATTTTGTTGTTGTTGTAGCTTTCTGAAAAATGGAACTAAATTTAGATACAGTGCTATCGCGAGTAAAATAGTTTCCAAAGCCTATTTTAATCCTTCCTCCACTTACTTGACTTTGACTTCTTTCTATACCTTTTCCCTCTCTCCCTTCTCTCCTTACCTCTGAGTCCCACCCCTCCTCACCCCTCTCCTCTCTTCTCCTCTCCTCTCCTCTCCTCTCCTCTCCCCTCTCCCTTTCTCTCTGCCTCTCTGGGTATGGGGAGGATGAAGGAAAGTGGTGAGTAACAATGTCTATCTCACTTTTTAATTCTTTTTTTAACTTTTATTAATAGTTTTTATTACACAAGTAATACATATTCATTGTAGAAAAATTAGAAAACACAGAAAAGCGAAAAGAAATAATAATCACCCATAATCCCACTACCCATAAATAGCTACTATTAACATTTAATGTATCTCCTTCTAGCTTTCTTATGCATATATATACATACATAGATAGATTTATATATAATTTTTTTTACAAATATTGTATCATACTATCCATACTGTTTTATAACATGTGTTTTATATTTAATATATATTTGTGAACATTGCTGTTTATTCCCTGAAAAATTATACAGATACTACATGCTCATTGTCGAAAATTCAGAAATTACAGATATGCAAAAAGAAAATATAATTGCTCCAAATCTCACCTCTCAGAGATAGTTACTGTTAAAATTTTAGCAAATAGCTTTTCAGACTCTAATGCACACATGAATATGTATATTTTTTTAAAAGGATTTCTTCTGTAACTTCCTTTTTTTCATTTAACAATATAGCTTCTTCATTTCCCTA